AAGTCCATTCATCATGACAAAAAGTACTAATAAATCATCGAGTCAACCAAGCTGGAAGGTCCCTGAACATCCTCTCCCTGATTGTCCCACCCCATGCCCCCAGAGCAATGGGACACTGGGTTTGTGCTGGGTGCAAGAAGAATTATAGAGGTTGCATCTAAGTCCATTCATCATGACAAAAAGTACAAATAAATCATAGAATCATCGAATCAACCGAGTTGGGAGATTCCTGAACATCCCCTCCCTGGTTGTCCCACCCCATGCACCCAGAGCAATGGGACACTGGGTTTGTTCTGGGTGTAAGAATTCCATGGGCTGCATCAAAGTCCATTCATCATGACAAAAAGTACAAATAAATACGAGCTGGAAGGTCCCTGAACATCCCCTCCCGGATTGTCCCACCCCATGCACCCAAAGCAATGGGACACTGGGTTTGTGCTGGGTGTAAGAATTCCATGGGCTGCATCCAAGTCCATTCATCATGACAAATACTACTAATAAATCAACTGAGTTGGAAGGTCCCTGAACATCCTCTCCCTGATTGTCCCACCCTATGTCCCCAGATCAATGGGACACTGGGTTTGTGCTGGGTGCAAGAAGAATTCCATGGGCTGCATCTAAGTCCATTCATCATGACAAAAAGTACTAATAAATCATCGAGTCAACTGAGTTGAAAGGTCCCTGAACATCCTCTCCCTGATTGTCCCACCCTATGTCCCCAGATCAATGGGACACTGGGTTTGTGCTGGGTGTAAGAATTCCATGGGCTGCATCCAAGTCCATTCATCATGACAAATAATACTAATAAATCATCAAATCATCGAATCAACTGGGTTGGAAGATCCCTAAACATCCCCTCCCTGCTTGTCCCATCCCATGCCCCCAGAGCAATGAGACACTTTGTGCTGGGTGCAAGAATTCCATTGGCTGCATCAAAGTCCATTCATCATGACAAATAATACTAATAAATCATAGAATCATAGAATCAACCTGGTTGGAAAAGACCTCCAAGATCATCAAGTCCAACCCTACTATGATCACTAGCCCATGGCACTAAGTGCCACATCCAGTCTCAGCTTGAAAACCTCCAGGGATGGTGAATCCACTACCTCCCTGGGCAGCACATTCCAATGCCAGAGCACTCTCTCTGGAAAAAATACTTTACAAATCATTTCTCAACCCCAGTGCCAAAATGCAGCCACCTTTAGTATACAAAACAGCACCAAGATCCATGAAAAGACCCAGCAAAAACCAAAGAAACATCCACCAAGAGCAGCAGTGCAAGTTTATTCCTTTATTGATAAATGTTTTCCAGACTTTCCAAACTGGATTGTTCAATTAAACACAAACCCACAAAAATACTTCCAGCCTAAAATCCTCAACGTCCTCTTTAGAAGACACAAGGGGTAGCTCTGCTCTGACCTCAAAGGAAAAGCTTCCAACCCCTAATTGTGGTTTTGGAAACCTCAAGCTTCAGACTTGGCTTTTTAAATAAGATCTTCAAGATTAATTTACAAAATGCAATGTAACTATGTGATATGATGCATGGCATTGAGATGTGCAGGACAGTGAAGGATCTTCAAACATCTGGAGCTGATGTCTAGGAAGGGGCTATTTGGCTTCTTTGTATCCTAGAGGAAAAGAGGGAAACAGGTTATTCACACACAAGTTAGGGAACATCCCAGCATTACAAGCTCAGTATCTTTTGGAAGGTACAGAGATTCAGTTATGGAGAATGCACATTTTTGAACATCTGAAAAATCACTGAGGAATATGTGAATGAAAATAAGAATCCTCATTGACAAGTCACTGAAAAATATGTGAATGAAAATAAGAATCCTCATCATTCTTCATCACTTTGGAGTTGTGACATCTGACCACAACAGCCTCACAAAAAGTACTGGAGATGGCAATTCCAGACAACCCACAGAAAAAAAAAAGATCAGCAGAAGCAAGAAGAGGCACTCAAAGAATCAAAAACTTCATAGAGAAGTTAAACAAGAGTCAGCTCCAAATATTGGTGACAGTTTGTATGGAGAAACCTGCTCAGTGAAGTGACCTTCCCAACACCTGCACTTTAATACAGACTGAAGGCAGATGGTTTTCAGGATAAGAAATGAGCATTAACTGCCTGTTTAGCCTCAAAATCACTAGAGCCCCTTGTGTCTCTCCCAGATTAAGCAGCTCCACAACTCATCCCAATGTATTAGTCCTTCCTTGACGTATCAGCTGCAAGAAACACTTCAGGGACTTATACAACATCTTTCTGCTGCTTCATCAAAGTACCTGAAGTATATTCCTTAAGTTCTACATAAGGATTCTGTTGGGAGAAACTACATTAGGGTTTGAAGAGTGGAGTAAAATCAGACAAGTGCTGGACACAGAGCTCCAGACACAATTGTGTCTTATCTGTTGGTTCTGGAAGCTTCTAACTGAAGCTGAGGATTGAGGCACTCACCAGTCATCCTGGTTCAAGAGGTAGCAGCAACCACACCCACTTTTTGGGCAGCTTCTTTCTTGGCTTGGTGAGCCTGCAACACTGCCACAGCCTCCTCCACCTTGGGGAGACAAAGCCCAGTGAGACCTGCTCTCTGCTCACAGCCACCCCCAGAGAGGACCAAGACCAGCTCACCTTGGACCGGAGGGACTCTGGAGACTCCAACATGTGCAGCAGCTCAGAGTTGTCAATCTCTAGCAGCATTCCTGTGATCTTCCCTGCAAGGCTGGGGTGCATAGCTTGGATCAGAGGGAACAAACGTTCTCCTGAAGTGGAAAAAAAAAGAAAGAGTTCCAGATAGATGAGTTTCTGTTAAAAAGTTATTTTGGGAAGCTGAGAGGTTTTCCAAAGTGAAGGGCAATCCATGAGCACTGGAGTTGGACTTACCCAACATCTGTTTCTGCTCCTGGGGAGGGGCAGCAGCCAGCATGGAAGCTGTTAGTGGCTCCTGGCCCTGCACATGTACTGCAGGCTGAGGTGCCTGTAAAGGGCACAAATGAGGGGTCTGAAATAGGTATTAAGCTGATTGTTTCATATTTAGACACTACTAAGATACTCCCCTTCCTAAAACACAATTTTTGTCAAGCTTTCAGCAGGTTTAAGCTTGGGAAAAGGTGCCCTTGGCTCACAAACACACTCCCTCCAAGTCCTGTAATGTCACACAGGGGCACTGTAAATATCTTACAAAAATTGGGTCAAACATGGTGAAACACTGAGAAAAAGAAACAGGCATGGATGTTGCTCTTACAACACAGAGGTTTGTGGGAAAAGCAAACTGTGATACCCTAGTGAGGACTTGGCAAAGAAGGGGAAGAGAATAAAATGGTCACAAAAATGGGAACACAAGGAAAACATCCTTGCAGCAAGGACAAAAGGGCTTGGGAACACAAAACAGATAAAACAACCAGGGTGCCCCTGGCAAAACTGCCAGGTGTTTAAATCCCAAATGATGCCTGTCTGGGTTATAAAAGTAGCTTGAAGTTTCTATAAAAAAATAACACCTCAGTTGGATGTAAAACCTGCTGGGCTGCAGTAACTGCAGGGCATTCCCAGCCCAGCCCTGGTGTTACCTGCAGAGGTTGCACTCCTGGGTGTGGGCTGCGAACACTTGAGGCATATTTGTATGGAGGAACAGCTCTGGGAGCAGGAGCAGCTACAGGAGGACGAGGAGCTAAGGTCTGTGCTGCTGTGCCAACACCTGCCAAGGAAGGAGAACAGAATGGCAAAGACCTGCAGCAAGTTGGGATGTCTGGTGTTAACTGCTGAATTGCTTGGCACAGTAACATCTAGGATACTTCGAAAATACTCTCCAAAATGCAAGTGGTTACTTTAAGAAGGGGTTATGCTCCCTAAAACTGAGCCATGGATTCCACATCTTGCATTTTCTAGCTGTTCACTGGACTGAAGTGAATTTGGATGTTCTACTCTGAAAGCAAAATCCATAACCTACAGAGCCTTTTGTTGGGTTTTTTTGGTTGTTAAGTGTTGCAGAGGTGTAGAGATGAGTCCCAAACCAGTGGAAAACAACCCATCTGGATTCCTACTGCTGTGCTGTAGCACCAACTGTCCCAGACCTGCACTGCACAGCGAGGAATAGGAAAGAGTCAGGTGCTGCCTCTGTCCCTTGCTCCAGAAGGCAAATCTCCATAGCATCCTCCTCCCTGATGGCCAAGGGGAAAAGCCCAGGAGCAGACACCTTACCAACTCTCTGGGCAGCAGCTGGGAGGCCACGGGAGGCTGGAGCATTGGCAGGGGCCAGATGGCGCAGGGCTGGCCGAGGTCCTGACTGCCTCATGGCATTGGGCATTCCCTGGAATCCTGAGGGAAGAAATGAGGGGGAAATCTTCAAAACAGAACCAACTGGCAAGTCAGAATAGTCAGCTCCAGGGGTTGTGCATGGAAAGGAAAGCATGCATTGTTCCTGCTGGGAAGGACAGCCACAAAAAAGGTCATCCAACCAACTCACCTTGAGGTCTTCCTCCTTGCTGCCAGCGTGGGTTGGGTCTCATCTGTGTCATTTGGTTGGGTGCATAGTAAGTGGGTCTGCTCTGAGCCTGAAGAGAGATCAGACAAGCTCATCTAAGTGAATGACAAACACTGTTTACAACATGTTTTGCCAGGACTCAACAACACTCAGTCAGATGAAGAGAACAGGCAGCTGGCAAGTCCCAATTAACTCCAGTCTGCATCCTCATTAGGAGAGTTCTTTGCTTATAGGCATAAGAAAGGCTCAGCGAGGTTACAGCAGCTGAACCAACAAACCTCTAAGGTTAAAAAAACCCACTCCAGCTCAGCTCACCTGGGGCACAGCAGGCATGAAGTATCCCCCAGCAGCAGGCTGGAACTGGTTGATGATGGTGTTGGCAGGCAAGGCTCTCATCCCAGCGATGCGCTGCATGTACTGGTTAGTTAGATGGGCCTTCCTCTCCTCTTTCCTCTGTGCCAGTGCCACATACAGTGGCTTTGAGCCCACAATCCTCCCATTCATCTCTGTCACAGCTTTTGTAGCTTCCTCTGGAGATGAAAAGCAGACAAAGCCAAACCCTTTGCTCCGTCCATCTTCCAGCATCACCTGCAGTAGAGATCAGTTGCTAGTGGAGCATCAGTTACCACAACTCAACCTAAGAATCCCCATTTCAGTCAGGTAGGACAGCACTGTTGCAGAGGTGTAGAGACAGGTACTCAAAGAAGAGTCACCTGTCTGGATTTGCTCTGCTTTGCTCTCAGCACCATGTGTCCCCAGGCCCACACTGAGCAGTAAGGAATGGGAAAGATTTGGTGCAGCCTCAAATGCATGAAGGAAAATGCCACCTCATGCTTATCATGAGTCACCTCAAACCAGCATGTTTGCCACTTCCTGCTTCCTCTTTTGGTAAGGGAATGAAGTTTTCAGTAAATCCCCATCAAGACCCCCAAAAAATCTCTAAATTTCTTAGCCCAGATGTTCTTAGAACCAGAACCAGAGGATACAAGAATCAACCCCACGTCAGCCAACAGTTCCTTCTTCAGACTTTGAAATTCAGATACCCCCAAACCCCACAATACCTTGGCACTTGTTATTGACCCAAAAGGTGAGAACTCCTTCCTCAGTTTTTCATCATCTATAGTGTCATCTAGGTTCTTAATGTATAGGTTAACACCCTGGAAGGGAGAGAACAGTAAGACACTCCTAACATTAAAGGAAATCTCGAGTACATCTCCTGTTATCCATCTGCCAGTGCTGTAATTTGTCTGAAAACTCTTAATTTAGCATCATGTTCCTTTCAAACCACCCAAAGCTGAAGGTGATAAATGTTGCAAAGGCGTAGAGACAAGTCCCACTGTGGTGAAAAGGAGCTTGTCTGGATTTCCTTTGCTTTCCTGTCGCATCCTGTGGCCCCAGTCCAGCACTGACCCTCAAGGAGTGGGGAAGTTTCAGATGCCTCCTCTGACATGCCCTAGTTCTGCCCTAAATTAGACAGACAACAATGCAGTTCTGCTCTCTCTTCCCATCCCTCTAGGTATCCCCATTTGACAGTCAAAGACACTGCATGGCTGTTTTCTCACATCCTCCTGAACACTTTGGCTGCCAAGACCATACCCTGATGTTCCCTTTCCCACCAAACACCAGGGAGACACCTCAAGTGTTAACTCACAGGGCAATGAATGCTTTGCCAATTCAAGTCTGTCAACCCACTCAAAATGGTGCTTAAATGCAAAAGAGGAACAGACTATTCACCTGGTATCTGCTGAGTCTCTCCTGTTTTAGCTGCTCAAACCTCCGTTTCAGCTCTGCCTGGCGCTCAGCCTTCTTCTGTGCTCGGCCCACAAACAGCATTTTCCCATTGATATCCTTCCCATTCATTTCTTCTACTGCCTGCATGGAGGAAACTGTCAGCTGCTGAAGCCAGAGAGCACCTGATCCTATTACAGGAACAGGACTGCCCAAAGTTCACCTCCTATCCCTGCCTGAAAGCCAATAAACCAAAGTTTGCATATTGACTTTGCATGTAAGGAAGGCAATGTGAACATTCTGTGTACAGAAGGTTTCTATTTAACAAGGAGCTAATTAAAGACTGAAGTTAGCAGAACACACTGACACCACCAGCAGCAATTTGTGAAGTTATCTCCACTCTTTCTTGGAATTAAGACTGAATTTTACTGAGCATATTGCTCAGGGAACAGCATTTCTAAGCTATGTTCTCACTTGGAGACACCTTCCTCCTCCTTAAGCCCTGCACTGTACTGTTTCTTCAGCAATTAACAGGCTTGATTGTACCACTCCACTCTGTGTGGAGCCAGTAATCAGCAGAAATGCCAAGTTACCCAAGCTAGTGAGGTACAAAGGGTTTCTAAATTCCCACCTCTAGAAGAGATTATACCTGAGGCAGAATTTTCTTCCTTTTCAGAAACAAGTTCCCATGATAAACCAAGTTTTTCTTCTCTGAAGATACCCAAGCAACAACAGCAACAAAAAAATTGGTCCTACCTTGTTAGCCTCTTCATGCTTTTCAAAGCTTACAAAGCCAAAGCCTTTGGACTTTCCAGTGGGGTCTGTCATGACTTTAACACTTAAAGTTTTACCTGTTACCAAGGGACAGGTTTAGTAAAATATCACAACATTATTTCAAGACTATTAAATTCCTTATAACAGCCCCAGCCCTCAGCCTCATGCCCAACATTTGGCACAAGCACTGCCCACACCTCAGCCCCCAAGTGCCCCAGGTAGAGCTACACAGATGGTAACAACACTCAAACCACCACAGTTCACAAAATCACAGCCACATTAGAAGTACTTCTGTATTTACCATATTTGCCAAACATCTCCTTTAGCCTCTCATCATCCATGTCATCCCCAAAGTTTTTAATATAGACATTGGTGAACTCCTTGGCCTTGGCTCCCAGCTCAGCCTCCCGCTCCTTACGAGACTTGAACCTCCCAACAAATCTGTAAGAGAGGAGGAAAACCCCAATAAACAGATTGTTTGCAAGAGTGCAGGAACAATGTGTGACTTGTGGCGAGGCAGAAAAATGAGTGTGTAGTAGGAGCTGGGAACGGGGACAAGAAAGGATGACAGAAAAGAAGGACAAACAAGCCACAGAGCAACCAGAAAAAAATCACCTGTGCTATGGTCAGCCAAGGATACCCACCCAGCTCTGCAGTGGAGAGTTCTGACCCTAACACCCCACCCCAACCCCTAGCAGAGAGAGGTGACAAATCAAGGCTCGGTCAGGGAAACCCACCAGTCCTGGAATGGAGGGGTAGCAGGCCATGGCTTGGGCAGGGTCACTCACCAGCCCTGGAGTGGAGAGGTAGCAGGCCAAGGCTTGGGCCAGGAGAACCAGTGCCTTGTGTGTCCCTGTTAATACCGAGATGCATCCCGGAGCATGTGAGCGCTGCTGCTGGCGGCTGTGACACTCACACTTTGCGGTCGTTGAGCAGCATGCCGTTCATCTTCTCGATGGCTCTATCTGCAGCATCCTGGGTCTCAAAGTGCACAAAAGCGTAGCCCTTAGAGCCATTCTCATCACACACCACCTGCACACGTGGAAGGGAAACAAAATATTAGCTCTCTGAATGGGTTCTCTCCTCCGTCGCGCTCAGGAACGTCGATAAACGCAACCGCTGAGGGTCAACACGAGGGAAAAGTCATCTGTGGCTCAGGCTTGATAGGACTTCAGCAAGCCCTGAGCTTTTGATCAGCTCTGCCTTTCAGAAACTCTACTCCTCCCCACTGAAATATGTCCCTTTCATGCCCCATGCTGAACTGTCTGATCATGCCCCTGCGACAACAAAATGGGACAAAACCAACCCCATCTCACCTTGCAGGACAAAATGTTGCCAAACGCTGAGAATGTGTCATAAAGTGCCTTGTTATCAATGGATTTGTCCAGGTTCTTAATGAAGACATTCCCAACCCCTGATTTCCTCAAGGAAGGGTCTCTCTGAGACCACATGATGCGAATGGGTTTTCCTTTGATCACGTCAAAGTTCATGGTATCCAGAGCTCGTTCAGCTGCAAGAGAAGCCAAGAAGAGATTTCTGTGGGTTGTTCCAGAATAAGGGTTTCCATCAGGTGGGTGATCATTTTCTCTGCATTTTGCTCAGCTCATGGAAATATTTGGGGTATTATCACAGCCAATCCATGACTTGTAGCTCAATGTTTTAGGGGACTGCTCAGCTCTGGAGATATTTGGGGTATTATCACAGCCAACTGATGACTTGTAGCTCAATGTTTTAGGGGAGTTCCTTGCAGCACAGTCACTAGACATGTGAAGTATGTAACAGACTATTTTAAATGTACCTTATGCAATATTTTAAACTACCACAGCAAAATGGATGGCAAAATGCCTGAGGTTTATTAGCTGGGTTCTTAATTATGTTCAAGGTAAATTGCTCTATCAAAAGAAGGAGTGGAAATACAGGAACCCCTTGTAAAAAAAAAAAAAAAAGGATAAAGAAAATGACTGTTTGGCTGGTTTGCTTTTCCCAAAACTCACATCTCCCCATACACATTTCTATTCAGAGAAAAGGATCATCTCCCTGTCAGGGCAGGGAGAATGTGAACAAACACATGGCTGGCTGAGAGGACAACATGAGTCAGCCTCTATACAACTTATTTGGCCAAAAAAAATGATTCCAAACTTGCTCAAACTAAAGATAACAACAAGAGTGGACAAAATTCTGGAAATAAAAAAGTTCATATCCCCAGTCTGATTTACAGGGAAGTGTTTATCCAAGCTCCCAAACCCCAGCACTGACACTCTAACCCACACTGAACCCCCCTCTATGCTGCTATTTTTGCTGCTACTGGTATATTAAAAGGATCATTACGTACACACATCAGGATCCTGTTCATAAAACTGAGATGCTTGGACTGTTCTGTGCCAGAAAACACTCCCAGCATGGAGTGAGCAGGGAAAAAGAAAGACTGTTCATTCCCAGCATGA